ATATATATATATTCTGTGTGTCTCCCGGGGGCAAAGCCCCCCTTGTCCTTAAAATCTAGTGACACCCCTGGCTACGACACTTGAAGTGCATCTTGGTCATAGGAGGAAGTGAAACAGGAACATAATTTATCCAAAACATATTTTGTTGTTTTGATGAAGATCTTGGCACAAACAGAGTCTGATCAGCAGCTGCTGGCAGGGAATGATTCACAAAACTTTCACACTTATTAAAGTCCTCAGCTTCCTGGACGAGCTCCCTCCCTCCAGGACAGAAATGTGTCATCAAAAGATGACGTTAATCACTCAGGACAACTTTGTATTGATTTTTACTGACTCTTCCCTCTGGAGCTAATCCATCATTGCTTACTGTAGGTCAATATTTATCTTTTTTCCTTCATTTGAAGCCATCTTTATTTATTTATTAAAAACACTGATGAGGCTGAAACACAAAAAGGCACAGTTAATTATTAGTTTTATATTTTGTGCTGAAGTTTGTCCTTTAGGTTAACTCTAACAAGCATATTTGCTTTTCTGTAGCTGCTTGAGATTCCGTCCTGTGTGTAAAATCTAATTATACTTAAAGATAATTAAGTTAATAGCTCATGCAGGTAACAAGCTTGTTCTCAGAAAGTCAAGATTGATGCCAGAGAGACGTGATGATGGCACCCCCACCTCCTCCTCCTCCTCCTCCTCCTCTCATATTCAGAGATAGAAAGAGGGTGGGGGGAGTTTGCTCCATATCCACTGAAAGCTGCCCGCACCGGTGAGACAGTCAGAGATGGAGCGGTCCGCAGGCGCCAAACCCCGGAGCGCAGCTGAATCTCCACACAGCTCATCCAAACAGTCTGAAGGAACAAACCAGAAGAAACACCACCAGCGGAGTGGAAAACCAAACCCTCCACATGGATCCAAACTTCACAGTAAACCGTTTTAAAGGTAAGTGACTTTGGAGAGCATTCTGTGTCCAGTTTGCGTAAAAACGCGACTGTGATCTCCGCGTCTTTTAATTTATTTTAAGGATGCAAAATTTGTTTTCATCTACACGAAGTTACGCTTTTAAATATGAGCAGAAAAAAAATACAGAAACATGACTCGAATTGGGTTTTTGTCATTTCAAAGTTGCAAAGGATGCAGCAACCGGAGGCTTTGGAACAAACGGGAAACGCTGTAATCCTGATGTCATAACCTCCACAAGAGCGCTTTAACCCAGATTATTGTAATGTAGCCTATAATTTCCCTGGAAACGTGGTGATTTAGCCTCATGTTAATCCTGCAGTGGAAAAACTGAATTAACTTTTTTTGTCTGGTAAAAAAATAGAAATAATAAAAATGTTGATTCAGCAGCAGAGTCTGCTCTGTTTGCTTTGAGAGTCCCTCTTCATTTCTGTTCCTCAGCTTTTCTCATTCCCGTTCTTTTCCAGGCAGCAGGTGATTATTTTATTAATTGGACATTTGCATGCATCACTTTATTAATGAGCACAAGTGGCGCACAAAATCCTGTTTACAGGACACACACACACACACAAACACACACACACAGGTTGCTTTTGATTATGTTGTCTTATTATCTTAAATAAAATAAAACAAACTGTAAAACAATGTGTGCACGTATGCAGCCCTCAAAACCCGTACTGCGTTGAGACACCTCTTGCATCAGTTGCATCAAGTCTCTTTATATGTCTGTATGCTCTTTGCTTCATCACTGGAGTTTTCTTCATGATCAAACTGCTGCAGCTCCTTCAGGTTGGATGGGTTCTGCTTGGCTCCAACAACCTTTAAGTCAAACGAATCTCAGTTGGGTTGAAGATTTGAACGAACCATTTCAGAACATTTAACTGCATCTTCATTAAACCACTGCAGTGTTGCTTCAGCCATGTGCTGGAAGGTGAACCTTTGTCCCAACACTCCAACATGTTCCATTCATAAATTCCTCTATATTTCGCTCCATCTTCGTGCTGACTCATCCCCACATCATGGTACTGTCACCACCATGCTTAACTGTAGGAATGGTATTCTCAACATGATGAGAGGTGTTGGTGGTCTAAATGTTTGGTCCCTTTTGACCACAGCACCTTATTCTATATTTGCTGTGCATGGAAAAAAATCCAAATAGTCCATATTTATTTTGCCAATTATTTTTTTCCTGCCATGAAACCTATAGCTCTGTGCAGCTTATAGAGGTCCTATGATCATATCTTTAGAATAGGTGCCCAGCTCCATCAGGGTTCTTGAATGTTTCTCTGATCTTCACTTTTCTTACTACTTTTAAGTGTTGAACAGTTAATTTTGGGACCTGTTGTAACCGGTGTAAATCATTTGACAGGTTCAGACATTAGACATTTAACATTAAGTGGCTTCTGCATTCACTTTTAATGTTGTTAGTCCATTAAATAGACATGTGGGACTGATAACCACTAATAACGTCCATTTAATGGACTGACAACATTCGAATTGGGTGGCTTCTGAAGGTTTTGATTGAGGCTTCAAAGCAAAGAAACTGTTTCTGTTGTGCATTTTTACGAATTATATATATAAAACTTTCCCCCTATTTAACTTCACTAATTTGGAGTATTTTTGTATATTTATATAGCAAGATTTTAAAAAATCTAATTAAATTCCAAGTTGTAAGGAAATAAAACTAATTGCAACTCACCAAAGGATACTGCTACCCAGTTTCCTTTATCTGCCAGAACTAGGCCATCTTTAGTTTGGACTTCAAGCCTTTTAGCAAAATCTGTCTTTTCAGTGGAGACCGGAGATTTGTGATCGATTTGATTGTGTTATGAAGGCAGAGGGTGCTTGACATTTAAGAGGGGCTGCTTCTAATCAAATTCAAGCAGTCTCTTGTGATTTTTGTCCCACAACAAGAGCATCAAACAGCCATCTGAGGAAAACAAAAGTGTTCTAGAAACACCTGATTGGATTGTTTAAGGCAATCCTGCAACAATAACATCCACAGACTCAGAAAGGGGGAAAAAGCCAAGCAAAAACAGATGGCACTTTCTGCACATAATTTAGAAGAGCTACTTTGCCTTTTAAAAAAAGAAACAAAAAAAAAGTTTTGCCTCCTGACTGCTTGAGTGGAGAGCAGATGGTATTATCCATGCTACTGCTGTGGGATTTTTTTTTTCCAGCAATGTCACTTATTGGCATGGTGAGATTCACCCTGGATTGATGTTCTTGTCCTTAAYAGTGAAAGAAGCAGAACTTGAGCTATTGATCCTCTTCCTTTCAAGCCTCCATCTCTACAGAGCACAGCTCACCTACCTCTTGGAACATGATGAAGCAGCTTCAGTGTCATAGGAGAATAAATAAAGGGGTAAATGAGATGAAAATGTATTGATCAGTGTATTATGATGCCTTTCTTCTGGTCCTGACTATTGTTACTGAAAGGACACAACAGAAATATGAGGCAGGGAGGAGTTGAGATAATCACGTTTAATGATTTATGTCCTGATGCAGAAATGCAAGAGGGATTTTTAACCTTATTAGGCCACTTAGACTATCATTACTGCTGCTCAGACTGTGATTAAAGGAGGGAATCACTGCAATAAAATTAGCTGGTGCCTCTTTTCGAAGTGGAGTTTTCCTTTAGAGTTTCGAACAAGCAGCATTCAAGAAACTGGTCAGGGTGTTATTTGCACAATAAGCTTTTAATGCACAGAAACTTGTTCTTTTACATGATTCAGAACAATCACGCTCCATGAAGTGTCTTATTTTTTTCTCATAGCCAMATTTTTTCCCTTTTCTGCCTTCTAAACATAATCCTCTTCCTGAGTGTTCATTTTGATTGTATGTTTGTAGAGACAATCATTTTATTTATTTATTTTTGCCCAGACTGACCCATTTTTTCTCTCAATCCGTCAGATTCTCCTGGTGCTACCGTGTGATTCTGTTCGGGACCTGATGCGTGTCAAGGGGCTATGGTGAGGCCATGTGCACAGGCTGGTGTGAGAAGAGATGCGCCACAGTCGGTGGAGGAAGAGGAAGGGGGAGAATTACAAGTCTGGACTTCTACTCGTGGTTGTGCGTGTCCCTCTTGTTCTCAGCTCTGCCGGGTCAAGCGACCCCGCAGTGCCCGGACAGGTGTCACTGCGCTTGGGACACGTTCACCGTTGTGTGCTCGGATGCTGGGCTACGAGAAATCCCGGAGGGGATCCCGCCGGAGACGGTCTCTCTCCACTTGGAACGCAACTACATTCGAAGCATCCCAGAGAGTGCCTTCAGCCACTTGGTCCACCTGCAGGATCTTTACCTCTCCGACAACCGGATCGAGACACTATCCACTGGAGCCCTGCTCCATCTGGGGCCCAAGCTGCGCCTGCTGGACCTCTCGTATAACCAGCTGAGGCACGCCAGCAGGGAGGAGTTCGGCTCAACTCGAGCGAAGACGCGCCTCTTCCACAACCCCTGGCACTGCGACTGCACCCTGCAGGAGCTGATGGAGACCCTGAACCTGGAGGCCGAGACGGTGAACGAGATCATCTGCAAGAGCTCTGTGCGGGGGGTGGGTGAGGGGGGCCGGTGGGAGGACCCGGGGTCACAGGGCGAGCACGCGGGCCAGCCGCTGGTCAAGCTTTTGGATTCTGGGGTGAATTTTTGCAGCCTGCAGAGGAAGACCACCGATGTGGCCATGCTGGTGACCATGTTCGTGTGGTTCTTTATGGTCATCGTGTACGTCGTGTACTACGTTAGGCAGAACCAAGCGGAGGCCCGCAGGCATTTAGAGTACTTGAAGAGTTTACCCAGTCCACGCAAGACCCCCACTGAGACAGACACCCTGAGCACTGGTTTCTGAGGACTTTTAATTGGAACATTCACACATCATCTTAATAGACAATGACTCCACAATCCTCAAGAATTTCATGTAAACCAACTGTGGAGGATGATAAACAGAGAGGGAATTCATGTCTTACAACTGTTTAATTTCTTCTTTAACTTTTTCCTTCTTTTTAATTAAAAAACAAGTTTACAATTGTCTATTGTGCTCACTGCACAGACAAAAAGGAGAAGAGTGAAAAAATGTAGCAGAAGTGAAGATAAAACAAGYCCACGTAGTGTATAGAGAAAGGCATTTGAACTTAATAACAGTCTGTCTCTTTTTGTAGCTCATCTTTTCTTCTCTTGCCATGCCTCATAATTTGCTCTTTTATCTTTCATTAGGCTCTAATTATGAGAGTCTGAGCAGCTGACCCCTAATGAACACCTAAAAAAGGCACTAATCAGTGTGATTTCAGGTGTGCAGGCTCTTTTAATGCACACACATGTCTGCATATATGGTGCTTTGATTCATTGTTCTGGCCATTTTTACTTTGATTACTTTGAGTTAGCACTATTTAAGTCTTTATTACACAATCTCTATGCCAGATTCGGCGGTTCCAGCGGAGAGCTGCTGATCTAAATTTACTCCCAGAAAGGCAATAGAGCTGGAAGTGAATTACTTTGTCTCCACTCTGCAGCACTCAGCTCTGAAAACCTCTGGCCTGCTTCATATACATATAGATGTTATTGATTGGTGTGAAGAAATTTCATTCCGTTTTAAATATGGATTTGTGTTGCCAWCTATTCAGAGAAAAGCTGTTAGTTAATGTCGGAGTTGTTTCTTTTTTTTTGGTCGTCCTATTTTCGCATCGACTCCATCCTAATGGAATCTATTTTTGCAGCCAATAAAATATTAGCACATAATTTAATACGAAAGTAATCATTTGTCCCTTCAGAACATTTATTTCTTGCTGCAAACACTGATCAAATTCTGACTGGATTAACAGCCACAATTGATGTTTAAATTGATTTTATTGAATCATATTTTCTATTGAAATAACTGTATGGAGTCTAAAGAGAAGGTTTGCATTGGATTTAAATATGTCATTATTTTTCTTGCATTAAGTCTAAATGGATCATTGCAATTAGCACCCCCAAACATGCCACATCACATTTTAGCTCAATAACTATGAAAATGACTGAGGTTTGATACATTTGGGTTTGCTAAGTTGGATCAGTTGTGGTGGCCATTTTGAATTGGGTTCACTCTAGATCTACATCCAATAGTAAATAAACTAATTTAATGAGGTTTTTTATTTCATTTTCTGTAAACTGTGTGGGTAAATGTTGCCCTATCATAATGTGGTCAACAATATTTGTTCACCATACAATTCATTGAAGATATTGACATTTATACTGCAATATATTTGTTCAAATTGGAAATTATTTACATTTTTTTCTCCATGATCAATTCCTAAAGATCATATTGTCGTTTAGTCACTAACACAACTTTGTTGTATGTTTAACACGTAATAAAAAGATGTCCAACTGTCTGTAATTATGGTATGTAGAAGAAACRAACACAATTTAGATTAGAGTTAGATCATCTCAGTAAGGTGTGTTATATAATTGTTGGAGAGACAGGATGTAATATGTGTCACTTAGATTCAGGAAATTAAGGTTCACTTGAAATTTTTACAGTTTATGTTTAATCACAACTTCAAAAAATCAAAAAAAGACTGTGAAAGTATCAAGTTGTGACTATCAAAGTTTTGTGGATAAATGTTGCACATTTAGCCAATATAAATAACTTCTGACTGTTTGCTGTTTGTCACAAATAATCTGTCTGGATTTGATTTTGTTRCAAATTGCACTTTCCTCAATTGCATCGTTGGATTTAAAGTCTGGGAACCTGTTTTATTTGTTGTGCTTTCAGCTACTACCTCACCAAATTCTAGCTCAGTATTTATTAAAATTGATGGCAATATAGCCTTTTTTTGTATGTGTTTTCTAAGTTTCATTAGCTATGGCAGTCATCTTAAATCAAGCTGACTCCAAAAGATGATCAGTTGTAGATGTATGTCCAAAGATTGGTTTCTGGGACTTTCATCAAAATGAGCCGAGGAAAAAGACAAGAAGACAAATAGAAGCAATAAGAGACAGGAAGAGATAATCAGTTCACTAATTTAACTGTTTTACTGTGTTTCACATTTCATTAACTACAGAAAAAAGGCTCAAATATCTGCCATWAATCCATTGATAATGCAAATCAAAATTTGCCAGTCACTTTTTAACATCACTTTCTGTTTCTGTTTTACAGTTTAAGCCAAACATAAAGTGGAAGTGAGGTGCAGCACATTTAAATGTGTGTTGTTGTTTTTAAATAGAACAATTCAAACTTTTTCCCACAAATATTTCAGCACTGAGTGGGAAACAAGTAAAAAAAAAAAAAACACAACTTCAAGTTACTTGGTTTTTGTCTTTTATTTCCAATTTACATTAATTAAAATGTAACAAAACAAGGCAAGATCATCATAATAATATAATAATAATAATGCTATTATTATTAATAATAATACTATTATTAATAATAAAAAATATACACAACCTCACACAAATGAGCCCTCTGTGCTGGCTTTGGAACATCAATCAAACACACCTGGAAAATCACTTCTGTATGTGTSTATGTGTGTGTGTGTGTGTGAACAGAGGGTCTGCGCTGTGTGAGGGGACTGATAGAAGGCAATAGACAGATGGGAGGGGGTCACAGCAAATTGTGGGGGCAGCAGACTGGGCTTTCACAACCAACCATAGACGTCATTCTGATCCAAAACATGAAATTTTCAAAAAAAAAATTTTTTAGGAAATAACAATTTAGATTAATCAATGTTTTTATTTTTTATTGTGAGGTAGATTTAAAAGGGAAAAAAATCAAAAGAAGGTAAAATTCATCCTAATTCCCTTGATTGCAAAAACTACTCAGGGTGCTTTTTCTTCAAAGAAAGAAAATAGACGCAGAAAGGGTTCAAGTTTAGACATTTGCCATGATGAAATTAAAAAATCCAGGGTGAAATGCTCTGCAATGAGCTGTGTATGTATATGTATACAAACATATACATATATATACAAATGTAGAAAATGATATTTGTGTGTATCTGTTTGGTAAAAAAATACAAACTGTTTTACAACAATAGCACCATTGACTTTATTATAATACACAGCAATTTTTGATACAAATGACGGCGGCTGAAATAGGAACACTTGCACTCTCTACAGTACGTTGTTAGATTTTTGGTTTCAAACAAATATGTTTTTTTTAGTGGATGTGACATAAAAGCATTGGGATGATTAGAAAAGAGGAGGAAGTAAGAGAGGAAGTTGGCTGATGAGTTTTTTTCTCCTTAAATATACGTAAGCAGGTTTATTTTTTACTACTTTGCAACAAACTCGGTCCTCTCATACCTGAGATCCACACCCAAACAATAAATAATCAATGCCAACACACTGTTCTCTCTCTTGTTCTCAGGTATGTTCCGTTATTCTCCTCATACTTCCTCTTATTTGTTCAGAAGATAAAAGATAGATGGCAGAGAGGGGGATTTAAGAGAATCGAGGGTGTCCATGAGGGGAGGGATAGAAGACTGAAGGCAACGCTGGAGGAATCACAAAGGACAGTTGCCGCTGCCATTCAGTGCAGATATCCTATGAAGTTCGACTTGAAATAAAAACACTTTTTACTTAGAAAAACAGTCCCGTTGAAAATAAAAGTGTCTCGATTTTTCCTTTTCTCTCTTTCTCTCCTTTTTTTTCTGAAGCGTGCTTCTCATTCATTTTCTTAATTTATTCTTTCCTAAAGTTTCCACTTCTTCTTGCTCCTCGGTTCGATTGCTTGTTCGTTTTACAAGAAGCAGACCGGCCCGACATCAACTCCAAACTCCTGGTCTGCTCCACCAATATCCATGGGGGCAATGTCCACAAGGGGCAGGCGAGAGGTCTTCTGCGACCTGTATTCAATCACTGTCTTGCCCCAGTGTCCTGTGTGTCTCTGTTTAGAGGAAAAAAAAAACATTTCACAATAGTATTTGGATGAYCTTGGACTTCTTTGTAGCAGCAGACATTTAGATGATTTAAGTGAATTAAAATGACGTCATACGAGTGTTAATAGGATTTCTTACCGTGCAGCCGTCCTCCATGACGCTGTAGGTGAAGCGGCTGTTGCCCTCRGCTCTGATCTCCACGTCGTTGGAGCCCTGCAGCAGCACGGCCTTCTTCAGGTTGCCCGTCGAGGCGTCCATGTAGGCCACGCTGTTCTTACAGTGGTAGGTGAGGTTTTGAGACGCTTCGGTGGACAGAAGTCTCAGGAATGTCATCTGAATGGCAGCGGTGTTGGGCGCCAGGCTGTCATCACCATATCCAAACTGCAAGAAAAATAATTCGATAAGCTTAATGTTACTGATGCATTTTTCATGTGTAAGCTACACGTTTTATGTTTTTGCAAYGTTTTAGAGTCACAAACAGAACATTTTCAGATCTTAAAACGGAARCAAGTTTTTGAAAATAATTGCTATTATCTGTATTCATATTTTAGAGTGGGTACGAATCTCTTAAAGAGTCCTAAAATATAAAACAAATTCTGATATTACGAGTCAATCACGATGCTGTGTTTTCAGTGCAAAAAAAAGCTAAAACAAACGTAAAACTCACRTGAAATCCTCCATTCATCGTCTCTCCAAACCAGATGTGTTTGCGGTCTTTGCTCTTGCTGGACCACCAGTTCTTGCGAGGGATTTTGGCAGGTTTGGGGTAAATGCAGGACTCTCCTGTCTCCATGTTGCAGAAGACCTTGATTGCATCTACAGTGCAGCCCTGATTGGGATCAATCCAGTACTCACCTGCAAATAGAGTGAAAATAAAAACCGACACATGACCCTGTTCCTTCAAATCACTTTTTCTCTTTAACTTCTTAAAAAAGCTCTCAATGAGCCAGGATGTCTTGCATGTTTTGCCACACTGTGTTTTATTATTTTAAAATGCAAACATTTAGGGCAAACTAGGTTTGACTTACTTTCTAAAACTTGAGATCCCAGTCTAGCCTCTGTCTGCTTCATTATCTCCCTCCCAATTCAACCAATTCCCCCCACTGTCACTCACCACTCTTCCAGTCTGGGTGGCAGAGCTTCAGATCTCTGCAGGTGCGAGCAGGGTTCTTCTTGGATCCCTCGGGGCTGCGGATGTTTTCAATCTGGTTGTTCAGAGATTTGAGCGTGGCGTCCACCTCGGCGTCGTGCTGACGGAGATTCCCAGCGGCCTGGTCGGCCCTCATGTACCTGAGAGGATCGGGCGACTTCTCGGTTTGGCCCAGACCAGCAAAGGCAGACATGTCAACGCCAGGGCCAGGGGGACCAGGAGGACCAGGGGGCCCGGGGTTTCCAGGAGGACCCTGAGAGACAAAACAGAAAACTCAGATTAGACATGCATGATTTCATGCCAAACCTTGCTCTCATTCTGCTATTCATGCAAAGTCGCACTCTAAGCCATTCTGAAGCCATGAAGACTCTTTAATATCAACATATATATTTATTTTTGTGTCAAACTGTTAMATAAATTAAAGTTTCAGATATTTTTTTTCCAACCAAAAACCGATCAGCGTCCATTCTAGTCTGGTTTTAAAAAGGGAATGTTTTCCAAAAGTACTCACAGCTGGGCCACTTTCTCCACTGCGACCACGAGGTCCAGGAGGACCAATGGGTCCTGGCAAACCATATGAACCATCCTTTCCAGCAGGGCCAACGGGTCCAGGTGGTCCCTACAGAAAACAGAAGATAAAACTGTCAGAATATACAAAGATGAAAAGTGTACCGGTAATTATAAATTATTAATAAAAATAGGTAATAAAATCCAAATTCAATGAGATGAAAAAAAAAAAAAACACCACTCTGATGCTGAATGACAAAAAATGTATAATTTAATTTGGAATTAAATGAATGTTTTCATATTTTTAAATATATCTGAGCATTTAGATGATATTGGTACTCACTCTTTGTCCAGCAGGTCCAGAAGGTCCAGTAGCACCCTGGTCTCCAGGTTGACCCTAATGCAGAAAAAAGCACAGTGAATATCAGATGTTAATGCAAAACCATTTTGAACCAATGCAACACAAGAAGTTTAAGGATAAAAATATCTGAACAGTGAATCGGACTTCTTACCGGGGGTCCAGGAAGCCCCTGCAAACCAGTGAAACCTCTGTGTCCCTTCTGTCCTCTCTCACCAGACTCTCCAGACTCTCCCTTGTCACCACGAGGTCCTTGGGGTCCCTGAGAACACATACACAACAAATGTTTTTAAATGGCTACTGACTCCTGTGTGCAGAGCTAAAAAAGGACATCTTTCAAACCCTGACAATAATTAAACTGATTTAGTGTTCACATACAGGCATCCCCCTGGCTCCAGCAGGTCCTGGAGATCCAGCAGGTCCTTGTGCGCCCTACAAAACAAGACAACCAGGAGAGGTGATATTTTAACAAGATTAAATGATTGTGTTATTCTCAACAGATTGTTCACATACAGCGTAAGACCTACACTTMTAGCATGACTTAAAAGGTCAGCGTATTTTAAAACACATCTAAAAGGAAACTGATGCTGAAATTGTAGATAACCTTTAATAAAATGCACAGAATAAATGATATGCAAATGAGAAAAGCAATCATGTGGTTTAATTATCTCTCTAACAAAAGTCTGTYAGAGATAAAACACTGGAGAAATCAGTATCAGGCGATATGCTAATTTTCTGTGAGCATACATTTGCCTTATTTTAAGTGTCACAGACAATAAAAATCCTTTAATCTTTAGAACTTTTTAAACATTTTTCTTTTGKAAAAAAAAAATACAAACTATTCTGCTACACAGTGAGAATGATATGCTCCCTTGTGTCGGAGTCATTACTCACAGGCTCTCCTCTGTCTCCTTGTTTGCCAGTGGGTCCCACTGGGCCCGGAGCACCGAGCGCACCTGGAGCACCAGGAGCACCTGCAGGACCAGTGTTACCGCGATCGCCCTGCAACACAAAGAGAACAACAGAGACAAAGGAGAAGGTCWGTTTAACAGAATCATTGCTGTTTACATAATGTGAGCATATAGAAAACACATATTTGCCCTTTGAAGTGACATAATGCACGWATATGATTAAAATACAACAACAAGAAAAGGGTTTGTGATTGCTCAGTGGTTAATTAATGCAGTTTGAAAATTTATCCTTAATAAAGAATTGCTTCAAAACTATTATACTGGTGTATAATCCCACATACAGTATTGGCCAAAAACATTAAAACCTCTGACAGGTCAACTGAGCTACACTGCTTATCTTGATTAAATACAGAGTTCTGCTAAAAAACTGGATGTTTTTGGACACCAATATATACTTTTTCAGCTCAACTAAAGTCCAATCCCCCCTCCCACATGGCAGCAAATTGCTTCTCTACAGTAGCAGACCCCATCTCTCAGCATCTGTGGGAACCAGAGTCCAGGCCACAGAGATAAGACCTCACAAGTCAAACCCCAAGGGATCTCATCTACAGGATGCTTTCTATTTGTCAGACTTATTTTAAAGATTATTTCAGTCCTAGCTGAGTCATAATGTAATGTGTAATGTATCATGGTGGTGTTGACGCCGATGTTTTTCACCTTGATTCCAGCAGAACCGTCTCTACCCGGAGGTCCGTCAGATCCAGGGTTGCCCTGTCAGACATCAGACAAATATGAAGCTTTTCTTGTATGCACCTGCACCTCTGTACCTCATCAGATGTCCTACTGAATAGAAATCAGCTGCATAATGAAGCCCGCTACATTCGAACACATTAATAATTTGTTGYAAACACAATGAAAATAGATTTGCGATGCAAACCTTTGGTGCATTTTAAACGGCACGCCGCGGGACTGAAACTGGCCTAGATKTGACAGCTGCACAATCAAATACATGATGGATGGTGTACATGTTAGTCATTKCCTGACCTCTCTGCCAGGCTCCCCTGCAGGTCCTGTGAGTCCAGGAGGTCCAACAGGTCCAGGGGGTCCACGGTCTCCAGCACCACCAGTGGCTCCCTGCTTTCCAGGCTCACCCTGAGAGGAAAAAAAAACCTCTTTATTTTGTTTTGTCAAAATGACACAAATYGTTCTTTAAATCACACAGTTTGTGGGATTGTGCTGTAGATTCACTGTAAAACCTGGGTACATTACATTTGTTGACACATGTGGTTGTTTATAAACAGCTAAAAGTAAAATTTTATATGACAATATGTTCTCACTGTTGGACAGTCAGTCTGCATCCTAAAATCCAAACTTTAAAACACGAACATTTTTAGTGTGTTTCTGTGACTGTTTGAATTATGAATCTCTGATTTATTAAATACTGGTCAGTAGTTTGAGGCGTGTTTGCTTCACGTTTTTGTCCCAGGATTCAAAAGCAACGGACAGTCCTTAGTAATTATTATTAAGCACAAATCTATTTAATCAGCTTATATGATTAAATCCTGCYYGAYCAAACCAGATGACAACGATARACAAGAAAACTGTCARATAATCAGYTTTYACACATACACACTATTTTACACAGTATTTATTTATAATAAATATATACATTAGGTCACTTATTATTTAAAGTGTGATTATTTTATCTAAATAGAAATATTTAAAATCCAAATCTAATCAAAGAATCTGGATTTATAGTTTAATAAAAGGTTTTAAATCTAAAGTTGTCCTGGTGAGTTTATATTCACTGCAGATTTCCTTCATCCATCCTCTGAATAATTGATGGTATAGATGTGCTCACTGACATGTAAATAGAAAACATGTCACATATCAAATCGTGTGACATTTGAGTTTTTATTTATTTATTTATGGCATAATGTATATTAAATCAGAAAGGGAAAACCACTGGTTTAACATGAGATGTGTTTTGACTGCGATTAAATGAGAACACAGCCAAATGTCAGTCTGGAGCATGTCTGCTGGTTTTCCACCTTTACTTCACTGAGCGACAAAAACAGTYGGTTTTGTGTTCCTATGACAAGTTCATGAATATTTATTATGARCAACGATGGCAGGGATGGTTGTGCTTTCACCTACTGAATCTGCCTGTCCACTTGTGTTTGTGTCATTGTGACATGTGCTCCAAAAAAAAAAAAAAAAGAGACACACACTCACTCAGAAGCCATTGCAGATGAGGTTTTGAGTTTTTTTTTTTTTTTTTTTTTGGGGGGGGGGGGGGTGTTATATGTCTGAACGGTTTCTGTTGCAACTGTGACAGAAACCGTCACAGAACTGAGCAAATGTTTGCTGAAATAAATCTGAGAGTTGAGTTTGTTTATGGCTCATACAGCAGAAAATGTGCTGAAACTAACAGGGAGAAGAAAAAATATGTTCAAATTATACATTTTTTTCATCTTCTTTCAGTTTGATACACTTTATGATACAGAGAACATTTCCAAACCTAGCAGAAAAGGTAAGGAATTAGTGTTTGTTAGATTATTTCTTGYTGWAACAACGCTTCTTGGCAACAAAACTTAAACWATTGGTAAGCCTGTTAAATTACCTTTGAAATAGTGCCACATTTGTAAGGAACATGTATTTGTTGGGTGAGCAGTACAGCTGTATATATGGGTTGTGCACATTAAAAATTTGCCAAATCTCTGCCATTGCCAAACATTGCTATAAACATTTGTTTATTTATTTATTTATTACAAAAAAAATTATTCTGGTATATGGGATAAATCTTGTGCCAGCAGGAACTGACTTTGATTTGCTCAGATTGAATCTCAATGTGCAGAATTTTAAATTGAATTCATTGGTTTGAAAATAAATTTAAACTGAATTTAAAGTATTTGTTGGGTGAGCAGTACAGCTGTATATATGGGTTGTGCACATTAAAAATTTGCCAAATCTCTGCCATTGCCAAACATTGCTATAAACACTTGTTTATTTATTTATTTATTACAAAAAAAATTATTCTGGTATATGGGATAAATCTTGTGCCAGCAGGAACAGACTTTGATTTGCTCAGATTGAATCTGAGCGGAATGCATTGGTTTGAAAATAAATTTCACTAAATTGAAACTGAATTTAATGATTTGAAACTTAACTGTATTTTGGTTTATTAAAATTTCASTTTGATTACTTTCACTTTCACCATTTTTGCTTGACAATGTTGGATAAAATTAATCCTGCGGCAGATGATTTCAGGAACAAAAGGTATTTCTATCACAGAACAGTTCCTCCCGTCCACCCCTTAAAAAATGAAAAAAATATCTGCAAATTCTATTTTTATATCATCATTTTGGCCTTGTATACAATCAAAACAATATTATAACAGTCAAACAATATAAAGTCTCAATAATAGTGTCAAATAATCACATTTTTAAATGTTTTCAAATTTTTTACAGTGTGTTGTATACTGATGTAGTTCTAAGTTCTGATTTTGTGTTTTTAGTCTGTTTCTGTTTATCCTCTTTAGTTTTTTCCCTCTCAGTTGTTTCCTAATTATCACAGCTGAACTTCTGTAAATATAGTTATTATGTAATATTTTAATCAAATTATTCATTAAGTGACAAAAAAGGCAATTGACAAACAAGTCAATAAAAAGGATTTGCAGGTTTTGAGGATACTTACAGAAGGCCCAGGCAGACCAGGGAAACCTCTTTCACCTCGCTGTCCAGGCAGACCAACAATACCGCGCTGACCAGCCAATCCCTGAGGACCTGAAGGACCCAGTGGACCCTGAGGAGAAAAAACAAACAGCAGAAACCCCAATTACCAGGATGGTATGGTGTGATTTATTTATCAGTTTGGATCATTAAGCACTTTAAAAAGAAGCCACATACTTTTATTTTTTTTAAGAATTCCTATATAAATATGTAACAGCTGTACATCTTCTGTCACTTATTGCACACAAGATTTGAGTCCCAGCAGCAGCATCAGAATACATTTCTCCACCAGCTCTCTGTTCTGCTTCAGCCTCACATCCACAGGCTGCTCTGTCAAACCGTCTCGCAGCTCCCTGGAACCATGTTCACAACGAACACCTGACTCCAAGTGACGGCTGAGACACACCAGTAGGCAGATAAAGGCTTTGATGTGATGAAACAAGATTCAAGACTTTATACACAGGATGAAATCTATAGGAAGGAGACGCAGCAGCTGCCTCAGTGTTTGAGAGGGTGATCCTCTGTGACACGGGCTGTCATTATCCTGACGGGACTCGTCATGTGTTTGTGACTGGTGTGTGTGTGTGTGTGTGACTCTGAGTGGTGGGAGGGCACAAGCCTGGAGTCTCATCATCAGACTGTCTCTAGATTGTGCTGCTCGGCGTCGTCATATGTCTTAGTCTGCTATTAGAGCCCGTGATGGACACTGACAACTCTGTGTATCAATGCGTACTTGGTCCATTACTACTAAAAGTGTCTCATAGGTTGAAAGAAATACACTAAAGGGGCTAGAAATATAAAATACAAAAAAACTTCTTTTTTCTTCAGAGTAAACTTTTTTCTTTAAGAGGATAACCAAACACATACGCATCAGTATGAAACCAAATATTTTACATTTTGTTTGAATTTAGGGTCAGAAATTTCCAGATTCTAAAAAAAAGAGAAGAAAAATGTCTCAGTGTCAGGTGTTTCCTGTGGTACTCACAGGAGGACCATCCTCTCCAGCATCTCCTTTCTCTCCCGGAGTTCCTGCAGGACCACGAAGTCCAGCGTCACCCTGTCTGCCTGGAGGTCCAGAGTCTCCTCTCACACCCTTGGGTCCATCTTTACCGGGAGGTCCGGCAGGACCAGCGGGTCCAGGATTACCCTAACGAGGAGACATAAATAAAATTGTTAGAAATATCAAATGAATAACAGGAGAATTCTTTTTAAAGTTAAGAGACTCAAACGGAGAACTTCATCAGACAAGAAGAGAAATTTTTTGTCATCTGCTTCAAATTCTTTCTTATAACTCATTATATTTACCAGCGTCAGACTTTGAGATGATGTCCCTCTTTTAAGTTAAATGGTAATATTCTACAGTGTCCTGCTGTGACAGACAAATTGCTTTTGGAAGTGCGTGGGTGCTGGTGAAGTGAGTGAATAATTTACATTTTCTTTAAATCAGATGGCATTTAGAACAAAAACGACTGCTTCTGCTGCACATTAAATAAGACAAAAGCTTTGTTCTTGGTGTGTTTCTTATGTTTTTCATGCTGCTAAACTCTAATTAAGTTAGTTTTCTATGAAACACATTAAATAAATGTTAAAGTATTTACTTTGTTTGATGGATTTAAGTGGACGCTTAACTTACGTTGGGACCAGGAGGTCCAACTCTGCCAGCAGCTCCAGGGAAACCAGTAGCACCCTAAGAAAAAAATATATATACAAAATTCAAGCATTTGCACATGTTAAGCCTTGCAATTATTAATTGTGGGACACTTAAAAACAATAAAGACAAACAGTCACTTACAGGAGGTCCCTGAGCACCACGAGCACCTTTAGGTCCAAAAACTCCTGTAGGACCCTGGAACAGAAAACATTCTGTTTGTTACAATATGACCTTTTGTTTTCTGTTTTATTTATTTTTTTATTTTTTGTGCATCAGCTAGTCTTTTATTCTGCCTCGTGCTGCACAAAAACTGACAAGGTCACCTGTCACTGTGACCTGCTGTTAAATCCATAAAYGTTCAACAAAGAGATAAAAAAGAAAGGTTCTGCTGAACAGTGCATAAAAGCCAGATTCTTTTTTTTTATTCTGTGAAATGTCAGTCATTCTGTATCTTTTTTTTAAAAAGTATATATAAATCATTCCTTTTATATTAAAAAACAAACACATTTTTTTGTTGAAGGCATCCCTCAAAACAAAGCTAACAAAAAGAAGTGTTAGCACATCATCCATCCATCCATCCATCCATCCATCCATCCATCCATCCATCCATCCATCCATCCATCCATCCA